CTGCATGTGCCCTAAGAACTTTTCAAGCTGCTATGTGGAAACAAACAGAACTTTCTAATATCTTTTCACAACATTTGGATGTACAAGGAAAATAGAAATCCCTCAGTACCCTGATAAGAGTAGAATAAATTATGAAACCGATGTTTTTTGTTTATTTCTGTGGCTGCTATAGTTTATTGATTTAATGGAGGTACAGTTTCTTGTTGTACAATATTATTATACAGTGTGGGAATAGCTGCCTCTATCCTGTTTGGCTCTGTTGTTGCTGTGCTGGATGCATTGGCTCACGAGGGGTGGCTCACTCACAGGACAGCAGGGGATGCCTCTGTCACACGCCCTTGCCCTACAAGACCTTCACACTGAGTTACCACCACCAAGTCAGAGGTGCAAACTGCTGAGCTGCTCATCTGTGACTCAGAATTCTGGGTGGGCCTGCTTTCTTTACTTCTGCACAGTACACAGAACGACCTGTGCAGGTATTTTGTATCATGATTTACTGTATTCACTTTTAACTCCACATTCATTGCTCAGCTAATAATTCATTATATATCTTCCTGAACCTTATAACAATCCTGTACAACCAATGGCAAATTTCAGTGAAAAGGTCTTGCCAATGCAGCTTCTTTCTTTTTTATTTATTTTTTCATTTTTTTTTCTCTTCTTCCCAGAAGAACATAATGTTTCATGTACCTATTTTAGCTGAAAAGATAATCAAGGACACTGTCATTCAAATGAAATGCTGCTATTTGCTAATAATACAGGAATTTAGTGTGGCAGTCTCTGAGTATTTAAAACTGATAGGGTTCTTTTTATTATTCTGTATGGTATTTTGAGTATTTAATACCTTTTTAATATCTGGTTTAGAATTCATGATGTAAAGATACAAACAACTGACAGGAATATTGTATTCCATTGAATTCCTGTTAAGCAAAGTAGCTTTCTGATGGAGAACTTAATCCTGCAGATGTTACTCAGGTTTCATATACTAAAAATCCCTGCTGACATCAAGGACTGAAAAGGGAAGATGAAATTCAGAATGTGATCTGTATTCAGTTTTATAATTTAATTAAATTCAAACAGAACACTTAGCTCTCAAGGACTGGATTGCATCATTCCAGCCCAGGTCCTGCTTAGCACCAGTGTGAAACAACTTTGATCCAGGAAGAGTACTTTAGATTCAGTACCATATCAAGATTTTACTTTTCATGTCATCCTAACCAATTTTCCCACATGCAGGAAAAATATTTAGTTGAAGGTACTTGCTTGGCACTGTTGCTCGCTCAAATCTCAACTTGGCAATCAAGTTCATCTGTTCATGGTAGTCACCACTTTATTTTCATGACAACTATCAAATTTCTGAAGGAGGCACAATACTTTTTGTATTATCAGTGAACTTGATTGCAGATCTGAGGCAAAAGTGGGCTGCCCATTAGACTGTGGAGGCATGTGGGATACGTGCTTTAGGGAACCTGGTGCTCATTTGAAAGAGCTATGGGCATCCCAATAATGCTGCATAGTCCTGAAATGCTGAAATAGCACCTACAGAGCTTAAAAGAAAATTGTTGCACTGAGCTCAAAATACTTACTAAAGGCAGCAGGTATTTATTTCAATCTCTACCTTATAATGGAGAATTAGAAAAACAGTGAGGCTGCATGATTTGGCTAAGGTCTCTCAGCAGGTCAAAGTGATGCAATAAAGTGCAATTGGCAGAGCAGCAGGTGAGGTTAAGAAGCTGCATCAGGAAATGAAGCACAGGATACATTCTGAGCTGGGATTTGTTTTGAGAACTGAACTCCCTTGTCCACAGTGCAGTTGTGCTGTCATCACTTGGTGCCTGCTGGACTTTACCAGGCAATTGGATGAAGCCACAGCAGAATGTGTGTGTATAGGAACCCTACATGTACCAGATTTACACTGAAGAAGCCTGTTATTATTATCTTCATCAAATTCCTTTATAAGCCCTATTTCTCTATAGCTGTGTCACCTGTTGCCATGGTAAGTTTCTCATGCTGTTTGTCTTTGATGAGCAACAAGGACATCTCGAAACACTGATAAGGGCTTGAGACACCTGGTAATGCCCAATGTCCTCCCCATAGCGCTGAGCACATTGGACTGGACCCTAAAAACCTACATGTTTTTAAAGTTTATAGTGATGACAGTTTTATAAATAACATAAGTTTTATTTTATACCAATTTGGGGATAATTTTAGATTCAGAGTAGTTCGTTTGGTTTTTTCTACTTTGGAGTCTGCTTAGCTAAAGTAATGGAAATAAGGCACCTGATTTTGTAATACAGAGTCAACCAAAAATAACCCTAAGAATATGTTTAGGGATCTAGAAAGCAAATAGTTTTTTGGTATAATAACACTTTATACCAGATTCTTCATCTGGACTTACTTCAATGAATCGTTCTCATTCATAGCTCTCACAGAAAGAGTTCTGAACAAGCTATACAGTATAATTTGCCATGCCTCCATTTTTCTTGTAAATACACTTTTGGCAGGGCTGGCCATATTATCTACCATTAAGATGTTCTGTAAATACATCTGGTGTCCTCTTCAAGATGATGAATTTTCAAGATTGTAAATTTTCCAAGATGCATATGTGCTCAACCCGAGGATTTTGGTCAAAATGCTGAACAGTTAAAAAAAATAATATTTTTTTTTTCTGTCAGACCCAGAAAAAGATGATTGGGGTGCATGGTGAAGAAGTCAGGAGAAATATGCAGAACAAGCAAAAGCTCTGTCTGTATTAGTAAATTAGGCAACACCAGAATGGTCCTATCTCAGATTTATTTTCCCAGTGCTCATATTTTTAATTGCAGTCTTGCCTAACATACAAGTGGATGTCTGTGGAAATGTAAAAGGGTTGTGTGCCCAAATAGGCTCTTAGCCACTGAACCACTGGCAGACATTCCCAGTGATTTGGAGGGTGTTTAATGGCAAACAGCTGAGTTTGGCTAAAACACAGGAATGGATTATATTATGTTGCACCATCACTATCAGCAGTTTTATGTGAGGGCAGACAAATTGCTCAAAGTAAAAGTCTGCTAATGTTGTGGGTTTTGTTGTCTTGAGATCATACAAAGACTTTTTGGATCTGATTTTCACCAGTTACAGGTGTCATCATCAGCTGTGCCTGACTGTGTAAAATGCTGGTTAAAGTTAAGTGCAAGCCTTGGCTTTCCCAGGCAATGTAACAGTGTTGAATATTTTATTTTAACTCAGGAACATAATAAACAATTAGTTACATTTATGAGGTACTATTACCGCAAAGGACACAGCCAACTGCGAAAGTCATAATTTTGTCAAGAAAAATGAAAGTTTTGAATAGAGTTCAGAAATTTAATAAAGGAGAAAACACATTAAATAATGAGGATAAAAGAAACATAGAAATCTGTTCTTTCAGTGACCTTAATTAAGAATGAAATCAAGAAGAATAAAAAAAAAATAACTCAGCCATTTTAAACTCAATGGTTGAAACAAAAACAAAAAAAAAAAACCAAAAAACAACAGCCTAACAAAGTTTGACTCAGACACTGACTACATCAAATCTATACATGACAAGACCTGAATTTGGATTTCACTGACCTGTAACTGATAGCTAACTAACTTCACAGTGCTTGGCTTACTTGAACTATTCATTTTTCAAGCCTGATGTTTATATCCACCTAATAGTTTTCATCAAAGAAAAATGTTTCCAAGTTTATGGAAAGATCTACACAATTCGCAAATTGAGGTTTCCTGTATCATAAACTTCCTTGGGATATAAGGAATTCCCCTGAGTGACCCAAAAATAATTTTCTGATTCTTTCATGAAAATCTGTTTGTTTTGGAAATATCATGAGACATCCACAAAGTTGTTGTTTGCCAACTCAGTAAACTTGGTAGAAGCTGTAAGAAGATGTTTATATTCCCCTACTCCACTGATCAGAATTTTTTCCTTCTATGTGAAATTACCTTGGTGAAACACTTGGGGAAATACAGAGCACATTCATTACCTAGCTTCAAATAACCACTTTCACTGCTACAGGTACCTAGAGTACCCACACATGGTAGGAGTTATCTTTGCTTACAGAAAATAATTCAGAGTACTTAAGCCAGATGCTCTAAAACACTCTCTGGATGTTGGCTGGCTGAAGAGAGAAACTAATGTGTTTTAAACATTCCTCCCTCTTCAACCTAAATCTTTAAATTCTCTCACAATTCATTTATTCTAATAAGAACTTATTTTAATTAGTCTTTCATAGGCCTGATTTTGTTAATATTATCAAGAAATGAAACACAACTGCAACTGAACTTGTTTTTACAAGTTCCCATTCTCATCCATACCAGCACTCAGAATTAATTTACTCTGGAAGGATATAATTACTCTGCTTTAATATCTGCATAATGAGTGTTGATGTTCATAAAATTCACCCCCACAAACCTCCTTTTTATATTACATTGCCAAAAGCACACTCATACTACTGTGCATGGACTATGAGCCTTCATCTCAAGTAGGTGATTGCAGGTACAGAAAAGGTATTGAGGCAGCACCTGATATATTTGTAGCAGTATAAAAATTAAGAATTTAGATGAGGTATCTAAAAAACGATGAAAAAAAAAACCCAAAACCAAACCAAGAAGTAAATACCAGTGTTTAGTTTGTTCCTTTGCCTCTTTTTTGCTCTGTTGTTCACACTCAGCATTTTAGAGACCCTAAGCAGGTCAGGCAGTCCCATTCTACATGTGCTTTGCAGAGAACAGGAATGTGTTAAAGCTGTATAGCAAATTCCTTTCTGTTTTGTAACTGCATTATCTCATAGCATGCAGAATTTGGAAGGTAATGTCTTCCAAGAGTCTTCTGTCATCAGAACTATAACCCTGTGTCACAGAGATGCTATGTGAAGCTACTTAGGTCATTTAAGCAAAAATATTAATGTGACAACTAATTTTATCTTCTTTATTGAATATGTCTACCCAACTTTATCTTGATTTTCAGATTTTTGGAGCCTTAGGGAAGTACTGTACCTTTTAAATGGTGTTCAGGGAATTGAGAGTGCTCAACATCATTTGCAATAAATCACTTGCTTCTGAAGGACAGCCTCAGGTTGGAACTCTCCACAGCCCTGAGTTCTGGACCTACCATTACCACCCTCTCTAGGATATGCCACCACTCAGACTTAGAGTGATCTTCCAGTCTATAAGGTGAGCTCTAGTATTTTTCTATATGGTTTTAGTTTATGTAAAATGTGAGATAATTAGGTCACATCAGTCTGCAAAAAATAGAATTATTTTAAACTAGTTCATATTTTGTTTGCCATTGTAAAAGAGCTTATGCAGAGATGCTTGTTACTTTGAGACAGGACAGTTTGATTATGTATGTAAATTCTTACACTTTTTCTGTCATAAAGAAATACATCAGTTAATCATCTTCTCACAGAAGCAACACAATAATAAAGAAACTGTATTTTTGCAGTGTGTTGAACATCAAAAATACTTGAAGAAATTGTCTCCCCTTGGCATAAGTCAATCCTTTGAGACAGTATGTGAAAACCAAATTTTGCAGATTCTGGGGGTTTTTTCGCTCTGTTCTCCACTTGTTCATCTCTGAAAATATTGGTATCTTCTTTGAGCTACTGTGAATTCACTTATTAAGATTTATATTGTTCAGTTACTGTACCATTGTTGCTACAAACTATGCACAAAGAAAATCTGTTAGAAAGTAAATAAAACTACAGCAGCAACCATTTGGATGAGAAAGAAAAAAAAAAGGGTCTTACCATTAGAGTTTAGGACAAATACAAGTACTTAATTCAATCTTATATCCAGAATGAGTTAGTTCCCTTGGAGAAAAGGGTAGTAAGGGGTCCTGTAGTTAAAGGTTGTGTTCTCTTGTATATGCTGAAGAACATAATGTAATTATATTGGAAATTATAAATCTAACATTTCCTAAATCCTTCAAGCTAAATACTGAGTTGTATTTTTCTGTAATAAGCTTATATACATCCATATGTCATAGAAAAGTACAATTATAATTATTAAAAAGTACAAGTACAATTATTGCATTTAGTTATTAGAAATGAACTTGTTTCCTCAGCAAAGAGCACGTGAAACAAAGGACCATTGTCACTTGCTGTTGGTAGCCAGTGCACCCAGAAGGTCTCAGCTCACAGAATCAGCATCAGTGGCTAATGTGGAGTCCTGCTGTAGCTGGACTCAGCTTCATTTCCTACACCCTGGTGCAAGCACAGTCCTGCCCTTGTTTCTCCTGGCTGCACACCAGAAATGGACCTGAAGTATTTCCTGAGGAACAGCATGAAGTCCTCATATGGGACCCCACTCCCTGTCACCGTGTCTTAAAAAAGGGTGGTGCTTTTCTGCCCACACTAATTTTGGGTTCCAGTATTGCAAATGGTGATAAAAATTTAAACTATGCCCTGGTTTAGACATGGATTTTTTTTCTATACAGAGAAAGAGCTAAAAGAATGTGGCCAGAAGCTACTCAAGCCTAACACTGCTCTAGACTGGAGAAAAAGCTCTGTGGATTTTTCAAGATTCTGTCTCCTGGCTAGAGCTGGAAATAAACCCTAGGTGACAGTATTCACACTCCAGTTTTATGTAGGCTATGAGTGAGATAAAGAAATAGGTGAAAATATGCAGCTTTCTTAAGGATTTACTTAGATTATATTTAAGTGTGTTAACACTGTAAATAGTAATCTAAGGCTTTTAGAAATATTTTTTATTTATTATTATTTTTGTTTTGCATATAGCAAATGTAAGAAGAAGGAGGAAGCTGCACTAGATCACAGAATATTGTTGATCAGAACCAAAATACCTTTACTTACAGCCCAAACTCCTAACCATTGTACCACATTTCCTAAAATGGTTTACAAGGGGGACTTGGAAGTAGGTGATCATGACTGCCTAAGGCAAATGACCTAGTATTCTTGGAAACTTGAGAGTGGTAATTCCTTTAACTGCAGTAGTAACTGCAGTTTTTAATAAGTGATAAAATATTTCAGAAGGCTGGAAGGCTCTACTTAATATTTCTAGAAGATTAACAAAAGTCTATAGAGGAAGAAAGGGGAAGTCTGATTTTTTTCCCCCTCCTAAGCAAGATAGAAATTTGTAGCAAAATACCAAGATTCATCTAATTCCATTACTTCCTTGCATTTTCTGGGTTTTTTTTTGTTTTCCAGCTGCATATATATGTGTGTGTATATATACACATATACATATATGTGTATATATATATACACACATATATATATATATATGTACACATATCTATATACTCAGTTACTCAGTTCAGGTCCAAAGGACTGTTTAAACATTTTTCACTTATGTGTCAAAAAACCTAAATGAGATGAAATGCCCTCTACTGTTTAGAAAATGTTCTTAAATGCCTTGTGTAGACTATGTAGCTGTCTTTCAGGTAATTGAGATTGGGCAAAATTCAAAACATTTAAGGAGCACAGTTTTCAATTTCAGTTGTGGGCGTTGCTTTCATTAAAAGCTACAGATTGTGTATGTCATGTCATATCATTAATTAAATTCTGCAGAGCTGAGAAGAACAAGGCATGAGGTATATGCTAGTCCTTGCCTTGGAGTTTGAGGTGGGCCTGTTCTGTGCCCAATGCTCTGTTGTCAAGCAAGAAGTTGAAAAGTGGGTGTAGAGAGGCCCAGCCCAATGCACAAGAGCTCTGCTGTGAGCAGACCATTCAAGGCTTCACACTGAGCTTCTCATGCACCTCATTCACCTGTGGAAATTGGCCCATGGAATTTCCCAGAAGTGAATTTTCTGTACTTCTGTAATTTCTGCTGATTCTTTCCTCTGAAGGCTTTGTTTTTAAATTGGTGGTTTAGTAAAGAAATAGGATTTACTTAGGAGAAAGCACTTCTGTTGATAACTCTGAACATTTTTAAAAGAGAGATTAGACACTTCTCTCCATATTTGTGCACTTTTGTTTTTAGAAGTACTGACAGCCTGCAGCTTTCACTAGTCTCAGGTTCAGGTTCTCAAAAACCTCAAGACATGACTGGCATAAAAGATGCAAATATGTCCTGACCCAAACCAGCTTTTTTGTACTTCTTGTCTTGCATCTTTATACAGACACTGTTGAAATTAAAATGTTACAGATTTTTGAGACAGGAAGCTAGTACTAATGAAAGCTCAGGAGGTACTGAAAATGCATAAATGCATATATCACACAAATGTTTCCCTGTTAGCTGGAATTGCAGCTGAAATGAACCTCCTTTATTTTTCTAAAAGCATCCCTAATGGCTGGGTTATGTTGCTGTAGTCATGCACTATAATGATGGTCTACAAAACAGGTAAGTAAATGAGGAGGTAAATTATGTAAGTATGTGCATTTTTTCTCAAGATAGGAAGAATTAAATGTTGGAGAATACTCAGCCTGAAGCTAATATACATAAGACACTATGGAGCATACCAGCAATAAGGAAAGCTCTCAGTTGCCCCCAGTCCTTACTGGTGAGTTCTGTAGGTACATCTGTAACCCCTCTGCAGCATCTAAGTTTGGATGTCTAATCTCTCCTTATAACATTGATACAGAGATAAATGTTTAGCTAGGGCTGAATCTAGCCTTTAGGCTGTGTCCTGAACTCTCTTTTCTCTCAAAGTCAAATATTATTTTTAGCTTTTATTGACCTGACCATCTGACTCCACTCAGCATTTGTTTCTGGTCAAATGCACTGCTCCCTGTCTAGGGCTAAACTGACTTACCAAAGAAGTTGTGTTCTTCTGGCATGAAATGGGTTTTTATTACTGAGGTCCACAGTGCAGATCATTGGAAGTTACGTAATAATATGAAGGGACATATAATTGAAAGGCTGTCAGAAGATAAAAGGGTATCAAGCTTCCCAGAGCATTCACATTGCAGCTCCTGAATCTGGCTGACACTGAAGGAGCGATTCAGTGCTCAGTGCCAGCCCCTCTGGTAGCAGCTCTGCTCCTCCTCACTGCTGCCTGTTGAAATATCAGAGTCTGCAGCAGAGAGTTTAATACAGGAGTTTGCCATTAAAGACATCAGCTGCTGCATTTCACAGTTACTTCTAGCTCAGCTCACCTGCTGGGGACACAGTACTTTGTCTTTGAATAGGCAGGACTGCCTTCATCCTGTTCTTCCCACTGGAGCACCGAGAAGTAGAGTGTGAGTACATACTGAGCAATGCACAACAAGTGAGCAACTGCAATACAGGCATATATTATTCTTGGATTTGTTTTAAATGCCAAGCAATAATCCATGGGAAGTAAAAGTAAGTCTTTAACTATCCTGACATTCTCCTAAATGTAAAAAACTGTAAGAGATGCCTGTATTTACTACAAATAATAAAACTGAAGCATTACGCTAATCAAATTCAAATCAGTTCAACTGCATAATTTTCAGTGAATAGGTGCTTATAAAACACAGAATGAACTCCAGAAGGGAAGGTTCATTGCTTCCTAATCAAAAGCAGTCAGCTTTAAACACCAGCCAGTCAGGTGATAGGTTTGTCATTTCTCAGCTGTGCTCTTGGAGGGAATTTGCCAAGAAGGCTTGACAGCCTTTAAACTTCACAGAGCATTTTTTGCCTGTTTTTGAACATCATGTTGAGCTACAAAAAACTCCAGGGAGACTGGGAGGAGAGGCAGAATAGCAGCAGTTCTATTAAAATATATTTGCTGCAATGAATGCCAAGCAGAGTTTATGGTGTGAAAAAACAAGTAATTCCTGAAAAGAAATGTTGACCCCCCTCAGGTCTGATTCTTTCTTGTCTAATGGTGTCCAGCTACTCTGGGGGACTGAGGAGTGTCAGTGATTAATTGCCTGGATGTCAGAGAAATAAAGGCTCATAATGCATCATTAAAAGCTAGAAGTCAGGGTGTCTGAACTATCATGGGAAACTTAAAATTAATCTATTTACTGCTAAGTACAATTAACACTCCAAGTCAGAAATCATTTGCTTTCCTAATTTAGAACAATGGCAGCTCTCCAGTGAAAATGTATTTACAGTAGTTTTACATTGCTTTCTAGAGGCTTAGTACAAAAGGGAGAGACAAAAATTAATATGCACCAAGGCAGTTAAAAAGAAACCTGTCTTTGAACTGTTCTTTCATTTTAATCAGCATGAGCTCTGCTAAATAGGGAAAAGAATTATGAGTAGGAGGTTAGCAACTAGGTTACTGAGGGCAAATCACTCTCAGGGGAATAAGTTTGCAATCTGAGCAACAGAGTCTGAGCTGTGCATGACTTGGGGTGACCAGGTCTTCTCTGTTTCAACATCAATTGCAAGGTGGCCAACCTGAAGTCTCTCAACCAAATTCCCCAACATGAAGGTCTGTTCTCCCCTCCAATGGCAATTGTGCTAGAAGAATTTTTCAGTGTCTTCTATTTCTATTTTCCAATGTCTTTCTAATGTCATTCTAGTGTTTTCTATTTCACATCCTCAGCTTTGGGATCTCATACATGTTTTAGTAATTTTTGGTATTGGTTGAAGTCCCCATAAGCTTCTTAAATTCTTAAATGGCTGCTTGGAAGGATTTTGTTGGATATTTTTTCTTGTAACTTAGGTTATAAAAGTAGCACCATAAACATTAATTGAAGAGCCATTAAGCAGTAGGGCTGTTTGTTTTGGGTTGATAGAGGACATAAAACTTCATACCCTGTGGTGGAAAACAATTAGATCTGATGATGAACATGCTATTAAATATACCATTACCAAACTTCTATCAGTTTAACTTTAGAAAATAGCAACCAGCTGTAGTCAAAGCATACACAAAGGATAGAAAGTCATATTTTAACTGTCATGTCATAGCTTCTTATAAATATTGTCATTTCTAATGTTTTATGCTAATGACAGTGACTAATAGTAGTCATTACCTCTCTTCATTCTCATAAAAATTTCCTCTAGAGAATATGATCACAGCTAGAGTGCTGTTTAAAATTAAATTTTGGTTTTCTAAAATAGATAACATAAAAATATTTAAATACCAACAGGTTTGTTAACTATTTTATTTTGTAATAGCATGTGTTCAACAACTACAGCTTTTGTTGATTGTGCCATAAGTTGAACAGGCATCCCTTTTAGAAACATTTCTGGCATGCTAGTGTGTCACATCTTTGGTGTCTGATGGAATAAGAATGGAATAAAAGGTGAATCTCACAGAAGCCATAAAAAAAGTCTGATGCTACCCCTGTAGAGGCTTAATATTAAGAACATTGAATTTTCTCATCCATTTCTTATTTCAGTTATGAATTCTGCTTACTTGACAGGTACAGAGTACTTCATTATGTGCACGAACAGAAATGCTTAAATGGATGAAGCAGCTATTTACGTCTGATAGGAGCTAAGTGGGACATTAAATTAATGCCAAACAAGTGAGTGCTCATTTTAGTTTTGTTATAAATGGCTGCAGCACAGCAGTAATGTGTTGACTCTTATGTGCTGACAAGTTCTATATTTCTTACAAACTTCCCTTAGAGCTCATCGTGGAAAGACAAATTCACACTCTGCATGATGAAATTAGCAGCAGATGCATTAATAATTGAATAAGGATCTCTGGAGACACACTACAGCTCAGAAAGAGAGTTGTTGACTGGCTGGTTTAAGTAGAGGCTTCTGTTCTTATATATATGCACTTACATAAGCCATGAGTTAAGAGCTGCTGCCTGTATGCAGCCTTTGATATCAAATCCACTTCCTGCTCTTAGAAGCCTTTGCAAAGTTACATTTGACAGGTCCATGAGCATACTGACAGCCATTAATCTGGGCAGAGCGTGGCTTTGCTCATTCCCCCTTCTCTCTGACTGTTCTTAAACTTCAAGGCAAACTGAATGCAGTTTCTTTAGAAATCATCTCCAGCCAATGAGTGGGATATGAGTGACTGGAAGACTTTCACTGTATGCCAGACCCTTGTCATGGACCTCCGTTTCTGTAGGGTTGAAAGTTTCCTGAAGTGCAAATCCCAGCTTCTCTCACAGAAGGATTAGGGTACTGACATCTTCCTTTCCAGCAAACGTGATGTCTTTGATTTAGCCGAGGTTTGAGAGGGAAGAAATTTCACAGAATCACAGAGACCACAGTGAGTCATCTGATCCACTTCCCTTCTCTCCCATCCTAGAGCACATTGCACAGGCTTGTGTCCAGACAATCCTTTAATCTCCGGTGAGGGACACTCCACAACTTCTCTAGACAATCTGTTCCAGTGCTCAGTCACTGCAAAAATTTTAAAGATTTAAAAGATTAAAGTTTTTCCTCATATTCCGGTGGAATTTCTGTGCATCCGTTTCTGCCCATTGTGTCTTGTATTGCTCAGCGCCACTGAGCACAGCCTGGAAACATCCTCTTGACACCCTCCCTTCAGATACTGATAGACACTGATGAGTTCCCCTCTCAGTCAGCTCTTCTCAAGGCTCAACCAGCCCAGCTCCCTCAGCCTTTCCTTGTAAGAGAGATGCTCCAATCCCTTAATCATCTTTGCTCCCCTCCACTGCCCCTACTCCGGGAGCTCTGTGTCTCTTCTGTACTGAGGAGCCCAGAACTGGACACAGCACTCCAGATGTGCCTCACCAGGGCTGAGTAGAGGGGCAATGCTCTTCCTGATGTACCCCAGGACAGCATCGGCCTTCTGGGCCACAAGGGTACACTGCCAGCTCAAATTGTGTCTTTTGGACAATAGCAAAGCAAGCAAGAGGATTGCCAGAAAAATAACTCTGCTTTTTAAAGATACCATCAAGTCTTTGATGTAATTTTTAATAGTTACTTTGCAATCACACCAAATAATATTATGCTGAGAGGATATTGACAAAATAGTGTGATATTTCATCCACAGCAATACTATTGGAGCAAATTCTTCTGGGTTTAAAATCAGAACTTTATTCCACTATTGCCAAGAGAGTGATAGTAATTTGAATAGTCTAAAAATTTGTTCTGGTTTGAGGAAAGCCAAGATTTAGCACAGTGTTAGTAGATTAACTCCATAGAGCTCTCCTAACTATGCATGCAAACTTCAGTCACTGGTTTTGAGCACAGGTTGAATTGACTTCTGTGTTTTGCTTTCCTCCAGGTTATTTTATAAATCTCAGGATCTGTAAGAAAAACTTAATATCAAAATATCTATCAGTGTATTTTCTGGAGTTTCATCACCGAAAGAAATGCTAATTCTAATCTTAGAATTTAAATATATTGCAGTATTTTGCATAAGCTACAGTATGATTTTAAAAAGTGGTACAATCTTTAAAGCAGTACTTAAGATTCAATCGTCTTTAAAACAATACTTCAGTTCCTTCTATTTAGATATGCAATTCTTTTTATTCAATAACAGTGTATATGTTACTTATTCAGGAAGAGTTTGGTATGAATCTCATAATGGAAATATGGACTTTGAGATATTTTTAGTATGAGAAACATTTAAACAGTTTCTTTTGTCACTTGAAATAAGAGTTAAGTCACAGAGATTTATGTTTGTATAATGAAGTATTGTCTCAATCTAAATCACAGAATCACTAGGCTGGAAGAGACCTTCAAGAGCATTGAGTCCAACCCATGCCCAAACACCTCAACTAAACCATGGCCCCAAGTGCCACATCTAGATACTCTGAAATACTCCACAAGTGGCTCAGCTGAGGAAAGAACAATACGTATTTTTCTTTGTGATATTGAACCACAATGCAGATATTAAGACATCAGAGACAATCAGGTGAAGGAGTAAGCATGCCAAAATAATACCCTGGTTTCAGCATCATGTCTTCTTTTGGAGTGCTTGGAACAAAGATGTGAAAATTGGATTTACATAAACTTTTTTAGTCAATAGAGCTACCATTTCAGAATTAATATTTTTCATTTGATTCACACATGTATAGTACATTTCACTGCTGTTTAAAAAAAGTAATCCTACCATCATCTGAGTTTTTAAGGAAAAGACTTAAGTACTCAAACAAGGTCATGAACTGCTAGATGAGAGGAATATACATGAGTTGCATGGACCAAGGAGGAATAGAGAGACTGCATTGACGGGGCAGAGGGAGAGAGATCACGAGTCATTAACTGTGGCTTTATGCTTCACATCTCTCTACAGTGGGTTTAATCCTATTAACTGATTTCTATTCATTCTGTTATTTCCATAAAATAAGATCCTGTCTTCTCCAGGTTAGAAATGAATATTATGCAGTCCAATAACTTTTGTACCTATTGTTAGCATTCATAAGGCACATCAATGGCACCAATGTTTATTCTTAACATCTGAAGTAATCACCAAATTTCACAATTCTAGCAGTTACCATTCCTGTAAAAGTGATATTTCTAAAACCTTCTAGTGAGTGAATAAACCAATGGGTTTTATCCATGTTTTGCAGGTCACTGGACATTCAAAAGAGCAAAGCAAATTAGAAGAACTCCTTCCCTTTTTCTATGACAGTAATTTTTCACTTGAGTATATGAGCATTTGCTAATATAAAAGCTATTGAGGAAGATATGAAGGGAACTTCTTTTAACACTGCCTTATAAGGTAGAAATAAATGTTGCATTTCAAATCCAGCTCTCTTTGAAATTTTATTTCATTTTAAAAGGCATCAAGCACCAAATTTTTGTCTCTGGTGACTTACAATCAAACAAATCCTCTTAAATTGAAAACAGGGTTTTCTAATTGTCATCCTGTAACCTCAGCCTGAAGATCAAGTAGCTACATTTTCATTTTTGTCTCATTACTACTGTTGATGTTTCTGCAGGCCATAAAATTTTTACCCCTTGTACTTTGCCCTTCTACCCTTCATGGTCTTCCTCCATTGTCCCCTCCTGTTATTGTTGCTGTTGTTTTATTATTATTATCATTATTATTACTATGTTTCTTTGAATATTTGCCCAGATGTTTAGGTGCATCCTTTTTTTGGAATAAGTTGGCAAGTCTGTTAGTACTCCATTCACCTATCTGTACTTTTCTACAAATTACCCAAAAGAATAATTTTTCCCTTAGAGTCAATATGTGAAATAAGGGGGGTGGGGGGAAGAACAATTTTTTTTTTACATATTTTTCTGAACTTGAACACCATTGTGGAGAGAAACTGGTATATGCTGCATCCTCCATAAGTATTCTGAGAGAGCACAAGCTATAGGAATGACCAACACAACTGAAGCAGAGTAAGATGCTGCAGCAGCAAATTATTGCAGAATATCAGTTCTTTCCTCAGGAGCTCTTGGGATGGCAGACTAAGCATGGAGAGTGTCCATAGAGAGTTCTTGTCCACTGTGTTCAAGCGAAACAAATATACAGGGTTGAAGTCACTGTGCATTTCCAGATTATCCTCTGAGAGCTGTGATAGCTGTGCTGAGTTGGCAGGGCCAAAAATTCAACACAGCAGTCTCCACAGAATGCATTTGACTTCTTTGTAACCCACTCTGATAAGAGAAAGGTCAGATGTTTCCATATATTCTCTGTAAACCTTCTTTGAATTTAATAAATTGAATGGGATGCCAATTAAACAGAATGATCCAAGCTTTTGGATAAAATGACACCACTTCATTCATCCCAGTAAGTAATACCATGATTCTACTTCTCCTGCTATTTGAGAAAGTAGGACCAAAGTAGTTTTTTGAATGTAGGACCAAAGCAGTTTTTTGAATGTCCCATATAAGAAGTCCAGGCTTTTCTGATCACAGACAAAGTTTGGTATTTTTATTAGTTTTTCCCTTTTAATTTTCAGTCTACTGAAAGAGACTTCTCTCCCCCATCATGGTTTTGTGGGTTCCCTAACATTTATCAATCCAATTAGTGTTGTCAGCTTTCTTGCTTCTCTTCTATCTCTTTGGTAATGCAGAGATAATGCACAGGAAATCTCCTGACCAAAATAAAAATGTCTTGTTTGAACTTCCCTGTGCAAAAATGTCTAAAATTGAGCAATGACTTAACACCTGCAGATCCAAAGTCTTCCACATTGCACAGTGGACATTTAATTTTCCTTTAAAGAAATATGTAACATGATGAGAGGTCTGGGTCAGAGGCAGAGATGACACACACTCCCAAGTTCCTGTGACAAACAGACTTGAGTTAATTCCTGCAGCTCCTTTTGCACACGTGATTTGTTGAGGTCTTAGCCCCATCCAGCTGTCTGGCCAGTGAGACATCTGCATTTAGGGCTAAATGCCATTTGGCTGAGGGTGCCTGTGTAGATTTGAATCCTACCTATCCTTGCCCACCCAGGGACTCCAATGCTACAGAAATGGACTTCTTCTTCAAGGCCTCTTTTAGGAGCAGATTTCCCACTGCTGAAACAGTAAATTCAGTTTTGTCTTTCACAGACTCTTTGGAAATGCCTCCCACACAGCTGCAGTTTCCTGTGCTTTCTGTTACCTAATTTGCTAATCATACCTCTGTGGAGTTGAT